TTCCTCAACATTGTCCTTCTCAGTAAAGAGATTAATAAGCTCGAGATCAGACTCTCCTTGATTTTCTTCTTCACAGCCTGAACCAGATTCATACTCTGAACTCTCCTCAGACCCAGACCCATATATATTCAAGGCTTGCAGCACTTCATTTGGATCAAAACACCCTTCATCCATCTTTTGACTCAGCATTTCAGCATCAATGTCTACTTCACCTCTTTCATCGACCCACTCATCCCCTTCCGCCACTAATCGCTGCTCACCTTCGACAGTGACATCCACCCTATCAGCTAAACCAAGCTGAATCTCCTCCTGCGTTAATCGATCTTGACTGTCCCCCTGTAAATAGTCATCACCTTCGCCCTCGACACCCCCTTTCGACCCAGACGACCCTTGTCGTTGGACCTCTCCCACTCCAGGTAGTCGTCCTTCGTCTTCAATCGAATCCGTTCGAACTTCAGCTCCCAATGGTTGAATCTCAGCCCTAAATCCCTCCTCCAAGATATGAGCCCCGCTCATATAACCCGTTGGGCCCACTTCATTTAACTTGAGATTATCACTTCTATTAGGCCCACCATTATATTCTTTAGAACTTTTAGAAAAGGGCCCATCTCTTGGACAGACAGAAGTGGGCTTCTGATAACTACCCTCCAGGCCCACAGTTCGTGAATCACTTGAGCCCAGAATTTCATTCGGCCCATCATGACCCTTCTGTGGCCCATTCAATATCATTTTGATCCCCCTAACTGTTGGTCTTCCCCCTACCTCCACTACAGCACCGACTCTACCCCCAGACCCTTCCACTCGTTCGCCTTTTCGACTTCCCTTTACCTAGCTTCCACGTGTCCTTCCTGACCCACCAGCTTCCATGTCGGCGGTGATAAGATCGCCTGTGGACACTAGTCGGAAAACCTTAGGCCACTCTTCCACTTGGCGTCGTGCTGTCTTGGACAAAGCTTTCAGACGAACCATTGCCGATCGTCCTTCCACCTTCACCTCCATGAACGCCGGCAGAAAACCAGAGTCGAATCCTCTGACTTTTAACCGAGCCTCAAAAAGATTATCCAGAGCAATGGTTCTTCGATCAACTTCCAACAAACCACCACATCTCTCACCTATGATCTGAAAAACCTGATCATTCCAAAGGGTGAAAGGCAAATCACACATTGCAATCCACCCTCCATAAGAAACGATGACCTCAGATTTAACATGCATCTCGTTAGACCACTTCTCCAAGCTAACTGCCACACCTTTGTCAAAGAATCTCAGACCCTTTTCTCCCAGAAAGTTCGCCTCCTCAATGTTACTAGCCCAGAACAGAGCTCGATTGAGTTGGAATGGCCTTAAAGCAATATTTATCTTTAAATACTTGCTCAGATTTTTCTCAATTTGAACCCAACTACTTGAAAAATCATACCTTGTACATTCAACAGCCCTCTCCAAATCACTCTTTAAACTACTCAGCCCATTCGCAGTGAACAAATCAACACAACTCCTACCTCTGTTTGCCCCTGTTTTTCTATCCATAAAACTCTCCTTTGCGTTCTTGCTCAGTTTTTCTTTTATGAAATCAGCCCTGACTTCCATACCTTTGAAATTTGCCCTGGTGTCAATGCCGATGACTTTACGAAGCATTGTAGCAATCTGAAACCACCCACGACCATTATACCCTGCTGGAAGAATGATGTTGCCTTTTTTAATACCTCCCTCCCACTTTGACATCTCAACAAAAACACCCTTATCATTTGTATACTTTTGTAACCAGAAAACCGCAGAACTACTACGATACTTGCTAAAAAAAGATCCTCCTCTGAAGCTCGACCCCAACTGCTGAAGCGCTTGGACAGCCCAGCTCACTCCTCCCAAATCGATCTTCAACGAAAAACTATGCGCTCTATTCCTCTCTATAATCTCTACTATGCTCCCTCTAGATTTTTCATCAATCTGTATAATAATGAGCTTCTGTTCGATCCTCAGTTCTGAGGATAGCTCCCGATACAACCTCACCATTTTCTAGGAAGTGATAAAAATAGTTCTAAGCTAAGAAATAATTACACTCGATGTTCTGATACTGCCCTTATGGCTAACAAGATAATTGATTGAAGACTAGGGAGTGGATTCCTAAGGTGATGTGAAAATTAGAGATTGAGAAGGCTTATGATGTGAATTGGGAGTTTTGACTATACGTTGGGAAACATTGATTTTGATTTTGGAGATAGATTAAGAAAATGATCTGTTTTACATTTTCATAGTGACGCTTTTCATCTTGATGAATGGTTCTCTGACTAGCTTCTTTCAGATGCTTAGGGGTTTTAAACAAGGGGATCTTGTTATTGCCTTTACTTTTTATTTTGGTTATGGAAGCTCTGAGCTAGATGAGTTGAAAGATAGAGCAGGTGGTTTCATGGAGGTTCTCAAGTGGGGATGGTGGTTTCTCAATAGTGATATCCTTGTGACACTGTTACTTTTTTGTGGGTCAAATCTGGAATAGTTGTGTTATCCTCGTTGTGTTATTTTATGTTTTGAATTGGGGTTAAGAGTTTTGGGAAAGATGGAGCTTATTCTAGTTGGAAATATGCCTTATAGATGGACACTTGTGTTAAGTGACCAATTGTCCCCGAAACTAAAGCTATTAAGAAATGGGCTCAACAATGTATATCAAGCTATCCAACAACTAGCATTTATCCTTGCTTGTAAGGTGGGATCTCTCCCTACTTATTTGGGTTTGCCTTTGGTTTAATTATAAACTAGTTTGATATGGACTGGTTGAAAGGTTTCAAAAGATATTGGTGAGATAGAAGTCAATCCTAATGCACAAGGCTCCCACTATTGTGGGGAGTCTAGGTAGGATAAGATGTATACAGCGTTGCCTCCGAGTTCGGAGAGGTTATTTTTGCAGTTTGATCCCATGACACTCAGGTTGCATTGGAACAACCTTACTTCTGTGCCGAGGCTTGCCCTCTAGATATTGGTGAGATGGAAAAGAAAATATTTATCCAAAGGAGGCGACTTAGTTAATCAGGAGCATTTTTTCAAATCTTAGCCACCTACTTTATGCCTATGTTCACTATCCGTCTTGGTGGCTTCATGACTCGAGAAGATGTAGTGGGACTTTGTGTGCAGTGGTATTGGGGAGGTGGGTGGAGTATTCGTAGATTGCATATTTTAAATGAAGCTTTCTTGGGAAGGTGCTTGGAGGATTTTTCTTGTGAGTGGGAGAGTTATTTGAGGTTGGCTAAATACAACAGTGCATGGGGAGATTGGACATCTTTAGAGGGTGATATGGGAGAGTTTGGTGGGGAGGAATTCAGACCGTATGCACTAATGCTATGGGCTAAGTATCTTTATAGGTGTGGGGAGGAGAGAAGATCAAATCTTGGCATCATCGATGGTGTGGGGAGGATGTGTGAAGAGGACTTTTCCTGCTAGTTTTCATGTGGTGAGAGATTTTTCCCCTTAGAGGAATCTGCAAGATTCTGAGATGGAGGAGTTGTTGGGCCTTCTTCATATGCTTTAATGGAGGAAAAATGTTGGCCAAGGCCTGTATTCTTTTGTATTTGGCTTTATTTAGAAAGGGATGTTTGAGGTCATGTCTTTTGTACAAGGCTTTCCAGGGGGTTTCTTTCTCGTAGATAAAGGGATTTTTGAGTTTAAAACCATGCCTTTCTCCTCTTCCCCATTCCACCTCTCCTCTGGCAAATCAAAGCATCGACAACTCTTCCAGGGGAAACCCAAGATATCCCAAACATCCACTAAATTCTAGACATATTTTAGGGGTACTTACGTGTAGGTCCTAGTAAGTAGACTTATTGTCTAATAGGTCCTGTGAAAAAAATTTGTCATAAGAAAAGTCACTAATTGTAAGTTTTAGCGACAATTTATAAAAATCATAATAAAAAAAAGTCACTAATTGTCAATTTTTAGCGACATAAAAAAAATTGTCACAAAAAAATTATTTTTAGCAACAATTTTACCAAGACTTATTTTCAATAGGACTTGATGGGAATTAAGTCAAACTATTAGGACCTATTGGTAGTTTACCCCATATTTTTATTGTTGCTGACTTGTTCTTGTTTTCACCTAGTTTGTAAACGTCACTTCTTGCTTATTCACATGCATTCTGTGTGCAGTGATTGATTGCTAATGTTCTATTATTTTACTTAGCCTCTGTTTGGTTTGTGCAAAAAAATCACTTTTTGGCCATTTAAGCCAAAACATTTTGGTTGTTTGCTTTATTTAGCTGACAAAAGAGAAAAGCCAAAAAAAAAAAATTTAAACAGTATACACCTGTTTGGTAAGTGCTAAAACATTGACTTTTTTCCAAACTTTTGTCTTTAGTGAAAATTTTAAAATGTTTATTAATTTTTTTTCAGTTTTTAGGTCTTTCTAGTCTAGAAAGATCTAAAAAGTAAAAAACAATAAATAAAAACATAAAAAAAAAAGTCCACTAAAAAAAAAAAATAGTAATTCCAAACATAAACTTAAACTTTTCTAAGAACAAAAAGTAATATTTTACCATTTGACGAACACATTGTCTTTATCCTAAAAAGGTAATAAAAAAACTACTAATATATATATATATATATTGTGGCAAACCAGCCCTTAGACAAGACTTTGTATTTTGTTTTGTTTTGTTTTGTTTTGTTTTGTCTTCTAAAATTACCCGATAAACAGTTGAGACTTGGAGATGTCATGCCTTGAATCAGTGCTAAAATGTCATTCAAGCATCTAGTATTTTAACATCACTGAACGCTGAAGGTTATAAAAAGAAACTCCTTGAAGTCCTATGAGCTATATGATAAAGACTTTAGTCGGTACACATGAAGATTGCACTTCTGTTATGTACGACTTTTGTGATTCAACACCTAGTTTTTTTATTTTTATTATTATTATTATTTTTAAATTATATATATTTTTGGGGGTTTGAGATTCAATACCCAATTAACTTACATACATAAGATGTGAATTTTTTCTCTGATATTGTTATTTTCTTGTTACTGCAGAAGGGCAATCAACAAGGGTATTGGTGTGGATAACATGCATTACCTTAATGATGGCCTTTGGAAGGTAATTCTTGTTTAATTCATTTCCTCTTAATTTCTTAGGTGCATTCGTTTTTCTTTTTTCTCTTTTGTTTAAAACAATTTAAAACAACATATTCTTTATATCAAATGACGCGTCAAAGCCATCTTTCTTGGCAAAATCTTTATATCTCTATCGGGTTTGGGTATGTGCGCAAATGTCCATTTCATCAAATTCCCATGTCTAAATATACGGGGGCACAACAAAATAATCATATTTTTTAATTTACTTTAATTTCATTTTCTAGGTAAAATGTTTGGATACACACGATTGAGTCTATCATGTTTTATAATTTGTTTTGTTGTGTATCATATTTGATAGTGTAAGAGATTCATAGAAATCATGTCATCTTTTGTGTAGCTGCTTGAATTTGATCACCTAGTTGATTAAAATGAGTTTTTTTTTTTTTTAATTAACCAATTAAAATTCATCTTTGTTTGCAGATGGAGCGTCTAGATTGAGCATTTGCAGAGAGCAAAAGTAGATGGTTCCTTGTGCAGCGGTTTCTGTTTCTTCGAAATCGGTGATCAAACTAAAAGTGTTCTGAGATTAGCCCCTCATGCTGTTTTTGTACTTTTTAACACTACAGTTGAAATCAATTCAATCTTTGACTATAGATGAAATATTTAACCAACCTATGATGCCATGCACATTACTTTTTTGAAGTTTTTGCATTTCCATGTGAAGGGGGATGCTCCAAAAATAGTAAAGGTGAATTTTTATATGTTGATTAAATTGAGTATGTAGACATACTATGCCTTAGTTTTGTTCCTTAATTATGTAAAACAGAAATGATTATTTGAAGCAAAATGAGTTAGGATTGTAGCGCTGTTCATGTTTGCAAACAAGAGAGATTTTGTGGGTAAAAGGAGATTTTTTTTTTATTCTAACAATTAAGGAAACATCTCAGGATACAAGATGTTGCTTACAGGTTGCGAGTCTGGTTATTTTTTGTCAGTGTTTAGGGACTCCCTTGTGGTCTCTGAAACTGCACTGCTTTTCCTTATTTTAGTTGACAATATGTACAATTCTCTTTCATTATCTAGCCATTATACATGATAAGGAATTATTTATGTTGGCAAATTTTGGGGAGGCTCTAAATGCATCTCAAAAGTTTTTTTGGGCACCCCATTAGAACACCCCAAACCGAAATTCAAATTTTGAAGAATTTTGTACACTCCAAATAATCCCAGCCCCTCATCTATTTGCGGCCACACTCAACCGCCTTTGCCACTGCCGGCCTGATGCCCTCACCCCCTTCTCTCTCTGTTGTTGCTGCTGCCACCTCCTGCGAACAGCCCTCAACCCTTTTCCACCACAACCTCCTTGCTGCTGCCACCTCCTGCGAACAACCCTCAACCCTTTTCCACCGCAACCTCCTTCCCCCACCGGCGTTCTCCTTTCCCCATTGCAACACCCTTTCTCACCGATGGCTCCCTTCTCTTCTTCTCATGCTCATTTTGCCGGTTTTGATTCCTCAAAAAAAAAAAAAAAATGGAGTCGAAGAAGCTTTGTTTGGCACTGGTTTGCCGAACAAATTAAAATTGCTTAGCATTTGATATCCTTTATTTTAAAGTTGTTTGGACTATTAAATTGGAATGTGATAAATTTCATCAATTTCGTTTTGTTCAATAGGCTAGAACTGAACGAACTTATATTCAATTATATTTTTATTTTCAATTATGTTGATAAGGAATGTCTGATTAATAATAATATTATTCATTTTTTGTACTTGAATAAATCAAAATTTAAAATTTTATAATAATTTTTTTTGATAAAAAGTTACATGTGTTTTTGCCCCCAAAATTTAAATTCTAAATTCGTCCCTGACCTACTCCTCTCCTGTTTCCTCACCTATACTGCCTTTCATATTTGTGATCATATCCCTTGAATTCTATGTAGTTTCATGCTTTAATTTTGCCATGAATCCCAAAAAAAATACGACATGAAAGCTACCTAATCAACAATACCACAACACAAATGTGGGACTCAAAAAATCCTTTCATATGGATTGTAGAGATCCGACGAAGAGATGAGCTTTACCCCTGTAGATCTGTAAAGATGAGTATGGTCGGCGCCACCCAAACGGGGTTGCCTGCCGGAGACACTCCGATGATAAAATTAGTCCTTGAATCAAGAAAAGAAGATGTAGAAATGAAATGGTATCTGTGTATTCTCTTAGAAAGAAAGATCATATCTATACTCCATGAGATGCCTTCCTTTTATAGATGGGAGGTAAGCCGAATAAGCCCAACAGTTGGTCCCTTGGCAGGCCTTATTTGGGTTAGCCCAATAAACTGATATATATTTTTTACTGACTCCCACAACAAATTAATACAAAATGCTGTCTAAGTGCGCACCAAAAACAACACACTGCCACCCATATCAAGTTTCTACTTTTTCATAGTAAAATCGTATATAATTCAGTTAAAATGGTTTGAATCTCACAATAGATTAATGAAGGGTTTTTCTTTTGGATAAGGATAGTTGAAAATTTTCTGTTTTCATAGGTCCTTCAAAAATGGATTTCTCTTTCGCGAATAACAAATTTGCGAGAGCCTATTATTTTTAACTAATGAGTTTGCCTTTTATTACATAGAGCAGTGTATTGATTGAGATTGTTTAACGATTTTACATATTTTGAAGATCTGATTGTTTGATTTGTATGAATATATTTGGTGTATTGCGATCATTGTTTGTATGTTTATGAAGATTCGTATTGTAAGTTTAAGATAGTATTGGAGCTTGCTATCTTCAATGTTTGTGTATTGCATTGGTTTATTTTGAACCTATGGATGAAGATTGAATAATTTTACTCTAATTATGTGTTCTATGTTATATTTGTTGTTACTCTTGTTTAAAATTGACAAAAAAAATTCTACTCTCATATTGTTTTATGTTTTCTTTTCTAGCTTTTTTATTTAATTCTTTGTTAGGTGTTTTCAGATCTTATTATAATGGTTGGGAGTGTGCAGCAAAAATACATCATGCATGTGTAGATGTGGTCATTGAGGAGCCAACTAGGTGCATGAGCGTCTATATCAGTAAAAGTAATGTTAGAAATCTTAAAAATTCTACTAAAAATTCTATCAAATGTCTTATATAGATATGAAACCTACACAATGTGAATTTCATGTGAGTCTCTCACCATGTGAGACATTTAATAGAATTTTTAGTAGAAATTTTGAGATCTAGCATTTTTGTATCGGTAATTGTAAGAGGGTCCATGGTGAAAATAACAACACCGTGGTGTATTTTTTCGGTTTTTCTGATTGTAGAGTTTTGTTGGTGGCCAATTTAGGTGTTCACTAAGCTCTTATGTATGATGTTGATTTTGTCAAGCTGGTATTGGTAAAATAAAAAATAATAAAAGCTGCTTAACTCATGATTATTAAAATTATCAGTGATAGTAAATTTTATTCTGAATTGTTTTAAACAAAAAAAAAATCGATGATACAAAATTTTACTTTTCAAAAATAATGAACACAATAAAATAATTTTATCATTTTGTACTTCTCAATTTGGAATTTTTAATCAACAAAATTAAAATTATTGTCCCTTGATTTTGCATTTTTAAACCCTCAAATTGAAATTTCTTTGTTTGGAACAACAAAAAAAAAAAGGGAGAATAAATCCAACACAGCGCACAATAAAGTTTGGTCAATATTTTTTTTTCAAAATTTTATATTCAATATAGCTCTTGTTTGACGGATCTTATTGAGAAAATTTCAAAAATACTATTTTCTTAGAAACGGTCATCTAAATCAAAAGTTATGAAATTATAAAGTTTAAAATCATATTTGGCCACTATTGGCATTTTAATAACCCGGCTAGGGGTGCTTAGGGCTTGTGACAACAAATTACATTACCGTATCATATTCGCATGAAACTATTAGTATGAAGCGCTATCACTAAAATCTCTTTTCTTTTTTTTTATTGGAAAATCATATATGCAAGGTCGGAGGCATGTGAAAGCCAAGGAGTCACGTGCTCCCATTAACTTTGAAAATTTATATTTTTGCCTCAAGAAAAAAAAAAAAAATCAATTTAATCTTTTGCAAGTTTGTTTCTGAATTTTTATATCACTATTTTATTTTCCTTTTTTTTAAAAAAAAAAATCGTTTAATTTTTCACTATAAATATTATGCTAAAAATCATTTAATTTTTCTTTTTGTGTGTGCAATTTAATATAATCTTGTTCTCATATTTTATGAGACATGTAATTATTTTTTGAACCATAATGATATCATGATACATAAAATCAAATTAATAACAAAAAATAATAACGATTAGTTAACTAAAGCTTATATCTAGATATAACTTTGCATCATAGTGATTTTTAATCCTATAGTCAAATAAAAATTAGGTTAAGTTGGATCGTAATTTTTCGTCAAGATTTAATTCAATGTTGTCCTTTTTTAAGCTAAAATCCTAACTCTAACCATTGTATATATGTGAGACTTATAAACTATTAAATCCTATTTATATTTTTTTAACTTAAGAGATCCCATACATGTCTAGAACAGTCCTGAAATAAACAAACTTAATCGACATTTTATACATATCTAAATGACCAAACAACCTAAAACTAAGTACGCTTGATCGACATTAACTATTTGGGATGGGAGAAATGAACTATTGTGGATGTGCTGTTTCCTTTTGAAACCTTCATACGTTGTTTTTCTTTTAGAAACATGTAGATAAGCTTTACCTAATTAATTAGAAGGTAACAAAATGTAAAATAAAACTTATATTATGTTAAGTTTTATAAATATTTTACAAATTCAAAATGACAGAGAAATTTATATTTTAAGAGAAAGTATTTATCCTTTTGAATCGAAATCTATATTTTATAATAAAATCACAACAATTATCCATTTAGAATAAAATAGTGAAATGTAAATATTCACACTTTCAACAAAATAAAATAGTGTAAAATTTTGTGAAGAGTGAAAGCAGTAAATGTGAATATTTAAGTTTAAAATTGTGATATATAAACTGTAAGGGTGAAACTTCACACTTATGTTTAATAAATTTATTTGCCTAAGCCTAACCTAAATATGATAAACTGAACTCAGATTAGGCCTCAATTACTAGGGATGGCAATTTGAAACCGGCCCGATGGGGACCCGACCCCCCGATCCCGAATATAACGGTTATTCCCCGAAAATTATCCCCATAGAGCCGGGAATGGTATTAAAAACAAAATCCCCGATAATTTTCGGGCCGGGAACGGGGATAGATTCCCCAACCCCGGACCCAGCCCGATTATTATGAGGGTAAGATTTGAGAGTTGGAAGAAGTTAATAAATGCTAAGATTTTTTTTTAATCAAAAAATCAAGAAATTTAGATTGGGAGATTGGAGCTCCCACAAAGCTTGGGGTTAAAAACCCATTTTTACTTAATATATATAGTATAGATATAGATATAGATAGATAGATAGATAGATAGATTCTGGAACTACATTGATTAACATTTATTTATATTTTTAATTTAATTGTAGAGTAGAAATTGTGATAGAACATCACTCTTCTAGATTCAAGAAGACTGAGAAAAAAAAGAATAAAAAAAAAGAACAAACGACAGAGACGGAAAAAACACTTATCCCGGAAATTCACTTAAGAAGGGTACAAGATAACTACAACCTAACAAGGTTGCATCAATATTGACTAACATAGACTTACCCGACATTTTGTAAATATATTCCTTGCCAATCAAAAATTTGTAAATGCGTTAATATAATTGAATTCTATGTGATTAGCATGTTTTGACTTCTATTATCTGAAATTCGCTGTTTTTTTTTTTAAAATTTTTTTTTCCCGACAAAAAAATTTTTTTTTAGGAGTAAATTTTTTTTTTTTTTTTTTTTTTTTTTTTTTTTTTTTTGTAGTTGATCTGTTGTTGATGTTGAAAATGTATGTGTGTCTCTATGTTGTCGCTGATCTATTTGATGATATTGATGATTTTGTGCATCTCTCAGATCTGTGTTATTGTTGTTGTTGAAAATGTATGTGTAATGTTGTTATTGATGATGTTGCAAAAATTTAGGCCGGGTAATTTGCGGGGTCGGGGAAACCCAATCCCCGATCGGGGGCGGGGATGGGGAGAGTAATAGGTTCCCCGTCGGGGATCGGGGCCGGGGACGGGGCAATGCTCACCATCGGGGATCGGGGACGGGGAGGGTGCTTATGTTTAATAAATTTATTTGCCTAAGCCTAACCTAAATATGATAAACTGAACTCAGATTAGGCCTCAATTACCCACAAACTTGAGGCTTTTTTTCGGTTGATAAATTCATATTAATATTTGAAGTTGCACCTCAAATTGTTAATTCAGACATAAAAAACGAGAACTCAAAAATAATATACTTTTTTACTGAAATTTAATTTTTTTTTCACCAATTAAAATATCTCATTAAGTAATTTTGATTTGTGTTAAAAAAAAAAATTAAAAATTGACAGAAATATATATATATTTTTAATCCTCTTTTTCCGTATCTAAGAAACAATTTGGAAACAAGTTTCCATTTCCATTTTCAGTTTTTATTTTTATTTTTTATGATATATATACTTTTTATTTTCAAAATAAGTTTCCTTCCACCCTCACAACTACCGGCCACCTTCCAGCGACCCTCTAACCACCTCGTGACCTCCAGCAAGCTTTGAAAACCCTCGGGCAAGCCTTTGGGCCACCTTCCACCCTTCAGCCACCCTGTGACCTCTGCACAGTCACCCACCGCCAACCACCATTTCTGATAATATATAGTGCTTTCCAAAAGCTCCAGGGCTGTTCACCAGGACCATGAACCAGCTAAAAACTTATAATGTAAGCTTCAGACTCGTTTTGGGCATTTTCCTCTGGCACTAGACAGAAATATACAACGTATATATGCGTGCATATGTATACATATATATATATATATACGAGAAATTCTACAGAGAAATTCTATAATACACAATCCCTTTTGGGTGTGTACCATACTATATGCTATGAAGGTATATAATACATATACAACAAAGAAAGGACGACCACCCTATTTCGTTCAACCAACAAAGAGCTTAGGCTGCTTCACATATTTTCATAACGAAAATAAAAAGTAAAATCCAGAGTTCAAGTATTGCACTATTTGAATTTGGCATAGTTCAATTCAATCTGTACACTTCTTTTTTTCCATTTACCAACCTCCCAAAAACCAAAATAGTAAATTCTGAAAATTGAAGTACCATGTTAGCCAAGTAATGAGAACAAACCTTCTCTATGAAATGACATGTAAGCCAAATACATCATTCTTCACTACTACAAAATCTTTTCCTAGCATAGGGATGAAACCTATATTCAGGTCAGATAAGTTATCTCCAGATTATTTGTTGCAATCTCACGCATAGTAGCAACTAGAAAACAATCCACAATATCTACAAAATTGATTATAAAAATAAAAAAAATAAAAATAATCTGATTATCTCAAAAACCATCAACAAATACTCCATTTTCCCAAGTCTACTCTCACACTGCTTTGAAGCTTTCTGACAAAAGTTGGTAGTACTGTTTTTGCTGCACCCCAAACAGGTTCATAAATTAGGTGGAGGGCGAAAAATAAATAAATAAATAAAACTGAGCTGCTTTTTTTTTTTTTAACAGAATAAAACTGAGCTGCTCAAGGCCAACATACATGCATGTTTTTGCATACAAAGACACTGTTAAAGTCATTATTAACTCATACCTTGCTTGAGACAGATGGAGAGATCTTTTCCAGAGCCTGCTCAAAATGCGTTTTATTGATAGTCAATGACGTGGCATCTGAACTACTACTTTGGGCAATCAGTTTCTCTTCGAGTGCAGCCATGGCTGCTTCATTCATCTAGCATTGACAAAAACAAAAACAAACCATGTGCAGTTAGGAAAAGTCCAACCCAACCACAAGCCAAGCTTGGCATGAGCAGACAATCTTGGAGTGCAAGCCGGCCTTGGGCAACTCTCAGCACAGCTCGAGTAAGTTGATCCTAGATAACCTCTCAACCCACCCAACTTGCACCCTAGTACTGTCAGTGTGTGTGTGTGAGAGCGAGAGAGAGAGAGAGAGAGAGCTACAGAAACAAATTATGCAAACAGAAGTTCAAAAAGAGTCAAACCAGTGCAGAAAGATCAGCTCCACTAAGGTTTTCACAAGCTTCATCCCTCCCAATGGCAATTAAGTCCACACTGGCATCTATAGGCTTTTTCCTAGCAAGAGCTTTTAAGATCAACCCACGCTCATCTGGACTCGGGAGAGGGACATACAGGAGTTTCCCAAATCTTCCAGGCCGTAAGACAGCACGGTCCATCACCTCAGGTCTGGCACATATTTTAGCAAAAATCATAGATGATAAATTTACAACATTAATAGCGCCATAGAAGCAAACTCCAAGAAAAAAGAGACAATTAGTTCACCTATTTGTAGCACCAATGACATAAACACCCTGTCGCTGCTCTGCACCATCCAGCTCTACCAGTAGCTGCAATAAATAATAAGACACGAATTCATTTTCAATTGCATATCTCGTAATGGAGTTTCAACATAGTAGCATTAGGGTTCAACGTTCATTTGGTTCAGCTTACCCTCCACCTTAAACTATATCATAGTAGGTTCAATTCTCATTTTCTGATCCAAAAACCACCAAGAATCAATCCATGTGCAGTTCTCTCTCTCTCTCTCTTCTTTTTTCTCTTATTATTGCACAAATCCCAATTGAAACAGTTTTAAAATAAAGACTATGAAAATTAAAAGGCACTTGATGAAATATTTTCTTTTCAGGTCACCCAAGCATTTTATATTAAACACTGGTATAAAAGCATTAATGCTATCAAACCCGAACAAAGAAGCATAAAGCAGTAACCTGAAACACAGTGAATTACCTATTTTTATTAGGATATGACTCCATGTATAGAAATTGAGCCATTACACAAGTGTCTGTGACAAACGCATATACAAACCATTGACTTTTGATTTGGTTTAGTTTACCCAACTCCTTAAACTGGGACTGAACCAAAACAAATTGAAACCACTATTTCTTGAAGCAAGACCAAATCATAATGACCAGAGAATTGCACCAAACCAAGAAGGAGACATAAGATAAGTATATGCGAATGACAGAGTTCAGAAACTGAAATTGTAATTTATTAGACCTGGTTCAGGAGCCGCTCAACAACCCAGCCCCCTTCTTTGCCGCGCTTTGTAGTCAAAGCATCCACCTACAAAAGTTGAAGCAAGAGTTCCAAAACCAAGTTAAGAACACGGATAATTATTGTTGATACACAAACAGTAATCCTTACGATCAATTGCAAAGGTACACCTTTTTTTTACTGGTACTACCACCCAAACCCCCCCAAAATATCATCTATTCATAGTCAAATTCAATTCAGGAGCACGCTGAAAATGACTCAGAAAAAAGTATCAAAACCCACTTTGCAGATCATTACTGCAAAAAAAAAAAAACCAAAAAAACCAAAAAAAAAAAAAAAGAAAAGGAAAGAAGAGGAAGAAGAGAGACCTCATTGTTAAACTCTCATAACATAAATAACAATGTTACATAGTTGGCTTGAATTCTAATCCTGTGGGACCCCCTTCTCCCCTGCCCCTTCCACTGCAAACAGGTTGAGTAAAAAAATAATAATTTATACAAAAAGTGCTTTTGTGAATGACTCCGTCCTATCTACATCCACAGAAAAGTAGGCTTGCTCCTCTTCTGCCATTTTTTTTCAGTCAGGACCAAAAAAAGCATACGAAGTCTGACGGAGGTACATGATTTTATTATTGACTCATTGCATAATTGTAATGATGGAAAGGGGCCCATAGTTTCACAATTAACTTCGAGCATCAAACAAAAGAAGAAGAACAGTAACCAACCACATACCTCATCAAAGAAAAGTATGCATGGAGAACACGTTCTTGCACGACTGAATATTGTCCTAACTGCCAACTCGCTTTCTCCAACATATTTGTTCAAAAGTTCAGGACCCTTGACGTGTTAACATAATTAAGATCATACAATCAAAAATGTATAAACACAAGATTGGACAGTTAAAATCAAGTGACAAACCTTGATATGTATGAAATTGGCTCCCGCCTCATTGGCAACAGCCTTAGCAATCAATGTTTTACCACAGCCCGGAGGTCCATAAAGCAAAAATCCTGTCTCTAGATCAACCCCAAATCCCTGAAAAAACCAGCTAAATCTAAGAACACAAATCTTACAATGTCGAAACCACAAATTCCTTCATATTATGCTGATATGCAGAAGAAGACTAAAGAGTAAAAAAACATAATGATTGAGTGATTTGGTATAACTGGAGGATCACAATAGCGACGCACGCATGCACATAATCAAACCTCTACCAAATGGAGGACAACAAAATAATTAATTTCCATATTTTGCCAGGAAGTGGGAAATGACTCCAAACATGGGTCTGTCTGTAGACTTGGTACATATCAAATTACAATTTTGCCAAAATCTTGTCAATTGGTGCTGTTTAAACTAAACATATCAAGGAAATGTTGTGCAAATATGAAAATTATGGCCTCATAACTATCCTGAAATGTTGGAGGTATGCCTCGCTTTCTATACTGTAATAGATGGTAGCAAAGAAGCAAATTGAAGTTTAGGCAACAAGAACCAAACAATAAACAATTATCATTGATCCAACAAATATACATTAAAATGACACTTCATAACTGTCTGCATATAATATACTAGTGTGTGTAAGGCCACCCAATGGGTGTACTATTAAATCTGTAAAATATAAAATTTGATTTTGAATTAAAAACATGTATTGTGTGTTACTCAAGTGGTAAAATTGTTATTGAGAAGACCAATGGTCTTAGGTTCAAGTCTTATTCACCTTACCATTTAATTTTTTGTTTTCAATAGAGAAAAGATCCATTTAATTTTTTCTTTTCAATGAAGAAAGCATATGATAAAGTGCCTCGGGATATAATCTGGTGGGTGTTGACAAAATGTTACATTGATGTAATTAGAGATATGTATGAAGTTGTGGTGACCACTATTAGTTCGCCTGCTAGAGAGACGAGTGAATTTCCAATTATTGTAAGGTTACACCAAGGATAAGTCTTAAATCCTTATCTTTTCGCTTTAATTATGGATGAGTTGACGCACAATATTCAGGATGATGTGCCATGGTATATGCTTTTTGCAGATGATATTATGTTAGTGGATGAGACTAGAGAAGGAGTTAACATTAAGTTGGAGATTTGGAAAAAAATACTTGAATCTAAAGGATTTAGTATAAGCAAAACTAAGACAGTATATGGAGTGTAATTTTAGTAGCAATCACAATAAAAGCAGAGGAGAAGTGAAGATTGAGAACCAAGAACTGAGGAGGTTGGAGCGGATGTGGTCCACAGAATTAAGGCGGGGTGGCTTAAGTGGAGGTGTGTCTGGAGTACTGTGCGATAAACGACTACCCATTAGACTAAAAGAGAAATTCTACAGAACGACTATTAGATCGGCAATGTTATATGGGATGGAATGTTAGGCAATTAAGAAACAACATGTAGATAAGATGACTGTTGCTGAGATGAGGATGTTAAGATGGATGTGTAGCAAGACTAAAAAAGACAGTTAGGAATGAGTATATTCGAAAATGGAAATAAGTAATACCGATAGAAGATAAGTTGAGAGAGAATAGATTGCGCTGGTTTGGTCATGTACAACGCAGACCAACAGAGGCAGTAGTGAAGAGATGCAGTACAGTGACAGTAGATGGTAGTGTTAGAGGAAGTGATAGACCTATATTGATGTGGACTAATATAGGAAATAGAGATATAAATCTCCTTAATTTAACTAACAAAATGGCCTTGGATAGAGTCGAGTGGAGAAGAAGGATTCATACAGCCGACCCCATTTGATAGGACTTAAGGCTTGATTTGGTTTGGAAAAGATCCACTTGGCAAAAGGAGAGAAGAAGCTTTAGGACACCAAGTGGGTTGTTAACTTTATATATAGTATAGATAAGCAAATTAAAGCAATTTCTAGATGTTTGTTGATGCCATATGTAATATCGTTATTTATTTGGCCAAGCGAATATGCTATAATAGAATGAGTAGTAATTGGAAACACTAGTAAGCAAAAACAAGACCATGGATGCCTGTGATTGACAAAAAATCAAAAATAATAAAAAATATATTTATGATTAAAATGTTGGCAGATTTATATTATTCTACAAGTATTATAAACAAGCACCAAAAGGGGGAGCAAACCTTGTATGTTAAAAGCCCAAAACCTATAAACTATACATCCAAGGACAGATTAAAAATAGCAGCATGTTTAATAGCAAGAAAACTATTGATGTGACAAAATAATGTTCTGCCTTTGAAAACATGAGTCTAAATTTTATTTTCTTATATTTAAAAATTCCATAGGAAAAAATATAAATGTAAGAATATGAGTATACATACGGCTTGCACATGTATATTTATGTGAAGGGAGGAGCACTCCATATTTGTTGGTACATATAACAAGCAGCAAGATGACTATTATTATTGAGTACAATTAAAGGGGTAGGAATGAATATATAAGTGATAGCTTATGACACTGAGAATTTATATATTAGCAAAAAATGGAAATAAAAAATGACAACGTGTGGGATAATAAAAGGGTATATATGAGGAAAAAATACATATGGGAAGTCAACAGGTTGAGATGAAATGAAATATCTACATACACAGGATAGAAATTTTAATATTCCTGATTAAAAAGAGGCACCTCGGTGGTGCAACCCATGTACAAAAAGGCTATATCATCTATACATCAAAATACGTTTTTTTCATCTAAATCAAAATGCCTATTCAAAGGCCTCTACGAAGTCCAAAAATTGATTCAAAGACAGGTTAACCAAACCAGAAAACCAACTATACAAAATGGAAAGCAATCAATTCTTTAAAATAAAAATTGAAGTTTAGCCTACTCTTTTCTCCCCAAACTATCCACATAAGAGTCAAAGAGACTAAATCCCAAGGATCCTTCTCCCCCCTATCCACACTCGTATTGTACAAAATTTCGACTTACAAACAAAATATTATTTTCTGCCCATTTTTTTACTTCTTCATTTAACAAAGGAAATGAATTAAAGGGGCTAGTATATGGGAGCCTCTCTCTTTTGTAATGATCCATCAAAAATGTTTTTAATTGGAGGTATTTTGTGACGTAATTGGTGATCAAATACTTGACAGTCCCCACAGAATTAATGAAAAATTTAGTAGGTTGCCAAAGAGACCTCCCTTACAAGCAAAAAGGAGGTCCACCATCTCCCTAGGGAACACCCAAACAAACAACGGTCAACGTCAACAAATCCCATGCAACCCCACAATGAACAAAGAGATGGGATTGCTTTTTACCCAGTTTATAATAACACTAACATACATATGCACATATATGTGTAAGCTGTTCCAGCACTCATCAGTTTCATAACAAGTCTGACCAAAACCACTGGGATCTCCATTAAGTGGCAGAGATAGAACTAGCATTTTTAACCATTTAATTAGAATCAAAGCATAAACATATATATGTACACAATAAATGCTGCCATTCCAATATGGAAGCTCGGCTCAACACATGGACCAACTTGAAAAGTAGCACTTCAGGATTAATAAATTCAGGAGTTCCTACTGGAATCCATGGTTTGCCCAATTTAGTCAACCATTTGACTAGAAACATGAGAGAGAGAGAGAGAGAGAGATTTTAAAAAGAACAGCTATGGGGTGAAGACTCTACCCAATTCTTTTGATATCCCTTTGTAATGCCTTATTTTAATTAAATAATGAGATTCAGATGTAAAAAGTACCTCATAATCCTCAGGATATTTTATACGCCTAACTATGTAACGGTCAAATTCCTGCCTTAGCAAATGGAGGCCCCCAACATCTTCCCATTTTACATTAGGAATGGCAGAGAACCCTTCTCTTCTAGAAGAGGGTTGAACCAATTTAGCTGCTTCCTACAGATAACATGTAAAAGGTTATATGCACCATGGTGCGAGTAAATCAATCATAAAACAGCTCTTAAAACTGGCAATAAGTATTGGCAATAACGTGAGTATGCAAACTGGACTTTAGGTATGAAAAATGATACAACGTTAATGGTCACAAAACCATTACAAAAACATCAGCCACTTTTTTATGTTCAGCTGCATGCAAATTAAGATTAGTGAATTGAGCCAAGGGAGCACATACCGAACTGCAAAACAATGGGGGTGTTTGGCAAGTTGGATTTTAGCCTTTTTTGGCTAAAATTCACAAAATGACAAAATAGGCTAAAATAGCAAATAAGACAAAATATCATATCAAATCCATAATCATTTTACTTTTTCTCTCATAAACATCACATCCAACTACAAAAAAATCCAACTATCTTCCCAAACACAAAAATTTTAGCCTACTAAAATAACAACTCCCCAAACACCCACAATATAAATTAATTAATATTTAGGTAGCTCAAATATCAAAAAGAATAAGGTATGATTTCCAGAGGATAATGCTGTTAAGGGTGGAAAGGATGAGACAAAAATCATCTCATATATCACATAATATGAGTACAGGCACATATGCAGAACAAGCAAGACAACATCAGAAGTGATATCTGAGTACAGGCATGTATGCAGAACAAACAACGATAAAATCACAATTGATAAATGTGTACAGGCATGCATCCAGAACAAGCAATGATAAAATCACAAGTTTATTACACTTCAAATAAGTAAATACCGTGTAGACAGTATTCATTTAAAATAGAATCATAAAATTTTGCATGGATAACAGTGTTCTGTCTCCAGATACCTCGAAATCGGCCATAGTGATGCTAAGGTTTTCCATCTCTTCAGGCAACCATGGAAGCCTCCACCAATCTTCAGTATCCTCATCTGTGGGTTCTCTAGATTGCTGAGACTTTCTTCTGTCAATAATTCTCTTCATAGCAAGGTTACCAGCCTTATTAGCTAGGGCTGCCAAGTCTGCTCCAACAAACCCTGGCGTGGACCTGGCTATTTTCAGAAGATCAAAAGCACCCTCAAGTCTGAGATTGCGTGTAAGAACAGAAAGAATCTGAACCCTTGCATTTTCATCTGGAACACCTAAAACAATCTCCCGATCAAATCGTCCAGGCCTCCTTAATGCAGGATCAACCGCATCGGGCCTGTTGGTAGCTCCAATTACCAGAACATAGCCAGGTCTGATATTGGAACTTTCTGCATTTGGATCAACATCAGCCGGTTGTACAAGCCTGTGTGATTCATCCATGCAAGTCATCAACTGTGTCACAATCCTTCTCTCCATTTCCCTCTGTAAATTCTCCCTTTTTGAAGCAATTGCATCAATCTCATCAATAAATACAATAGACGGTGCTGTCCTATATGCTTTTGCAAAAAGCTCCCGAATGTTTTCTTCCGATGCACCTGAAATAAAATAAAAAAAAAAGTGCAATAATGATATAAGCATTCAAAAGCTTCTCTATCATGATGCTGAGGCCAGGGAAGAAGAAAAACCAGTAAATGGTTTAGTTAAAAATAATAATAAGGTTGGGTTTTGCTCAAAACAAGTTTCATTGGGAACAGTTGTATCAGTATTAAAATTGTGAAAGACTGTTAGCTTTAATTTCCAAAGAAATGCATAATACGTTCATGAGGTAAAATGTCAGAATCAATATTGTTCAAATGGAGTTCCTCATGGTAGCTCTTCACTACCATATCAAATCCATGTAGAACTAAAAACAATTCCAGCATCCAAAAGTTGGTAGCATTAAGAAGCAAATAGTTCAAAATTTTAATTGGATTGGGGTTAAGCAAATGCTGGGCCATTATACAATTTTACAATTGAAATGATGCCTCATTGATTAGAAGATTATGAGAACCAGAACACTATGCAAACAAGGAATGCAGGGGATGGAAGGCATTCCAGTCGAGCCAAATACACATCTATAACTTAGCATCAATGCATTTGAAACCAGAACATTTCAAAAGAATCTGAAATAAGATGTAATAAAAGGGCAACCCAATGAAATAAGAAGTAATAATGCGACAAAATGCCAAATGGCTAAACAGGAAGGCAGGGAATGGGAAAACAATAAAAAAATAAATAAACGACACACCAGACCTTAATTTTTTGCGTTATCTTTTAAGCAGAGGATGACACCTTGGTATTGCCTAGTTACATCATTTTTATCTTTTCTTTAGAACCAGGACACTATGTTAACAAGGAAAATGAACCCCATGGTCCAAAAATGCCCAAGAGAAAAATCTAAAGGGCACTTGTCCAAATAACCCCCATCAAATAGAGAAGGCAAGATTACTGTAACAAACGACATTGAAGATTTCTAACATTGTGACTTTAGGCTTGCACCCCCATGTTTACTAATTAATGTGACATGGTATTGATGTGCTCCAAATAGTGTCAAGGCTTCCAACTAGCATCACCAGCCAAAGTAGACCACAAAACAATTGTAGAAGAGTATCCTCTACCACTAGAACTTTCAACACTCGTTTTGACATTCACAGCCATAAACAAGGGCACATAAATCTCAAATAGATCAGCACAACCAATAAGCAGCAATACATTTTCAAAAATAAAACCTTCATGGTTCCTAGAGCGCAAATATCAATATCCTTAGGATTTCAAAAATAACCATTGAGATAGAATTTGATTGTTCCTATTGAAGGTGGCTTCCAAGCAATTGCAACCCAATAGGCATCAATAAGAACATGTGACTATCCAATCCCTTATTGTATAAAAATTATATTGAAAGGAGGCACCAATGGGTGCAGCCCGTATACAAAGAAAAGGAAAAACAACTATACACCAAAAGCCTACTCAAATGTCTCTAAAAATTTATTCAAGTACAAGCAAACCGCCATGTGGCTATCCAATCCCTTTTTGTATAAAAATTATATTGAAAGGACGCACCAATGGGTGCAGTCCGTATACAAAGAAAAGGAAAAACAACTATACACCAAAAGCCTACTCAAATGTCTCTAAAAATTGATTCAAGTACGGGCTAGCCGCCACCAACTATACAATATAGACAAAAATAAACTCTTAAACCAAAAAATTGGCTGGTCTCTACCATCAAATGTTCTTCAATATAATCACCAAAGGGGCCGCCAAGCACCAAGCCCTCCTTCATCGCCTCCTTATATGAACACCTTTCCAAGAGAAAGGAAGTTCCCCAACATGTCTAGGTACGCAAAATACATGTCTGGTAGGTGAGATACTTTGTACAGCATGGGTACTTCTGTGAGTATTTTGGAGTAGAAATGTAATTTTTTTTTTAAAAGGGATACTAGAATAATTATATTGTGCATATTTAAAAGAAAAATTAAGTATAGGATATTTTTACAATTATAAAAAAAATAAAAAATACTAGAATTCTTTTCTGACCATTACAAAAATACTTTAATTATTTTTTACATTTGGTTTTTAATAATTACATGTATTGTAGTAGTACAAATTATAAAAATATTTTTCTACAGACGTACCAAACCATACCCGTACTCTACTTTCTTTCTTCTTCTTTTTTTTCCCATATCGGCATACCCCATAACGTACCTACACCCGCACCTATGCTTCGTAGCTGAAAAGAGAAAGAATCCTATCCCTTGCAGTTGCCTTTCTATAAATCCACACTGTAACGTAGCAAAACCTCATTATTCCAACCCACCCGCAATGTCTCTCCCAACTGCACGTAAACCTCCACAAATCGTTAACAAAGCTTGATTAAAGTTTAAGGATAGCAAGCATGCGAATGGCTATGTTCATTCCCTAACCAGAAAATAAATTGTGTTCCAATCAACCAAGTGGCATTTAAAATCTTCCAAAATAGAAAATCATGTTGCAACTTCTCCAACTGCTTTGCCACAAAAACTAAGATAGTAAACACATAGCTGAAATATGTGGGGAGGATGGCAAGAAGACTCTTAATCACAGCAAGTCTGGCATCTTTAGAAAGTTACTGCCTCTTCCAACCTGTAAGGCATTTCTGAAATCTATCAACCACCATATCTCAAACCACCCTCACCTTGAAAAGGATCCAAGTGGGAGACCTAAATAAATAACAGGTTAAAGGTCAACCTTACACCTAAGAATGCGCTTGCCAAGGCCTCCACATGTGAAACTTCCCCCTCCAATAGCACATATTCACCTTCAAAACTGAAACTGTCTTTAGAACACAATAGCACAAACTGGAGAAAGTCCAATTGTTGCGCCTTCGCCCCACTAAACATAATGATATCACCAACAAAAAGAAGATGGGAAACTGGATCGTAGGATCATAAGATCCTACATTGCTAAAACGATCCAAATCGTTGTAGGATGGGTGTTATAACAAGATCACAAGTAGGATCTGTTAGCATATATTATATTATCATATTACTTTCTAAGTATGTGTAATTATTCTATGCCTCAGGGCTCTCTTGTAATTTGTCCAAATCTTCATTAATATAAATAGGGGATGATCCTAATCAAACCCTAAGCTGGTTAATCTCTACAAGCTTCATGGTATCAGAGCAAAACCTCTAGGGTTTCGGCTCACCCTTGTTGGTCGACCTGTGCACCAACGACACTCTAGGATTCAAAACTTACCTGGGTTGGTCATCTGCTGCGTCGACCTCCACTTCGTCGATCTCTACTTCGTCACTTCGTCAATCTCAGTTCGTCCTTCGTCAATCTTCAGTCGACCGATCTCCTCTGTCGTCTTCATTCCTCAGTCGCCTTCCTCTGTCGCCTTCGTCTCTCAGTCGATAGTCACTCCGTCGCCTTCCTCTGTCACCTTTGTCTCTCAATCGATCTCCTCTGGTATACCCTCTGTTGATCTTACCTTGATATGTCGTATATAGTTTTTTAATCTTCCACACAGGTTCTCAAAAACTCAAAAACTCAAAAAAAAAAAAGAAAAAAAAAAAAAAAAAAAAAAAAGAAGACAAAAAAAAAAGAAAAAAAAAATATTTTCTTAATTTTGTTATGTCTTTATAGTGGTCATTGTGCCTGTTCTTTCACCACCACCTTCTGGGTTTGTAATTGCCACTAGTTTTGTTGCGGGTTCGGTAGTATAATATCCATGGCAGATTCCACCAGTGTGTCCCCTACTTCTCAAACACCGAGTGAGAGTCCCATTATACCTACTACCATGACTGAGACCTCCAACCCTAGTCTGAAAATCACCACCTCTCTATTTAATGGTCAGAACTACTTAGCATGGTCTCAAAGTTTAACTATATTTTTGAAGAGCAGAGGGAAGATGGGGTACGATGATGGCAGGATACAGGCACCTAGTACCACTAACCCGGGTTATGACCAATGGGAGATTACTAACTCTTTGATTATGGGTTGGCTTATTAATTCAATGGTTCCAGAAATTGGTGAGGGCTACTTGTCTATGGAGACTGCCTAGGATGTTTGGGATGCTATGGCTGCCACCTATTCACGCAAAGGGAATTTCTCACAGGCATTTAAGTTGCGCCGCTCTATTGAGAGCTCACTTCAGGGGGAGCAGACTGTTCTTCAGTGTTTCACTTTCCTCACCAACGGCTGGAAACGCCTTGACCACCTGCAAGACTATAAGCCTGTTTGCCCTACTGATTTTGTCGGGTACAAGAAGTTCATCGCACAGGAACGGGTCTTTAAATTTCTGGCAGGCCTAAATGTGGAGTATGATCCAGTTAGGGGTCGAGTTCTGGATATGGACACTCTTCTTTCACTTCAGGAGGCATTTGCCTATGTACAGAATGAGGAGAGTCACCGGTCTGCTATGATGTCCCCTGTCTCTACTGACCGCTCAGCATTACTGTCTACTCCTCGAGATGGCCCCAGCCTGACTCCCAACCCTCCGTCTGCTGCTAAGGAGTCTGTATTCTATAATTATTGCAAGAAGCAGCGGCATACTCGTGAGACGTGTTGGAAGCTTCATGGGACTCCATCCGGGGGTCGAGGTGATCAGTTTGGTTCTCGAGGAGGTCGGTCAGGCCAGTCTAGAGGACGTGGTTCCTATTCCCGGGCTCATCAGTCTAGTGCTGTTGATACACTTGATTCTAATTCTGCTTCTGTTGGCCAAGCTTCTGATGCTGAGCTTGAGGATGCTCTGCGCCAATTGTTGGACCGCCGGTCTTCTACTGCTCTCAGTACAGCTTCCTCGTCCTTTGCCCGCTCAGGTAACTTAGCCTTTTCTCCTTGTGTTTTCTTGTGTCATAAGTCTTTGCCTTGGATTATTGATTCCGGTGCCTCAGATCATATGTCTGGCTCCTCTGATCTTTTCTCTGCCTATAAGCCCTCTTCAGGTCAGGACAAAGTTAGAATTGCAGATGGTACATTCTTCCATTTTTGGAAAAGGTTTAGTCTAAGTCACTCCTACCATACCTCTATCTTCTGTTCTCCATGTTCTCAATTTTTCTGTTAATCTGTTATCCTT